CTTGCTCCAATTTGTTCTTCTATGGCTATATTCTGAATGTACGTTTTCCGTTGACGAGCGAAACATTTTTCTAGCGTTTTTGGGCAAATATGCGAGAACAGTTAAATTACCTGAAGAGTAGATAAACCATGAGCATTTTCTGTGAAGTCATTTGGGAGAATTGATTGAAGATAAACGGTAACTTGTTCACACTTTATTGAATTTCATCTTCGTTATACTTTAAATACAAGCAGCATATTATTAAAAAGGTAATTTGTTTCTAGCTTACCAAAATTACCTAATCTGTTTGAATATAAATGAAATGCGGTGTAGCTTTTTAACTTATTCACAAAGGATCCAAATTAGTTTTTGTAGACGCTGCGGAGCTTCAAGATAACTGCAAGAGTACTGATAATGGACGTACCTAAGATCACGCCGAGCCGATCAACTACACGTACGAAATATACCTTCAGTTCATTGCCGGCAGGCTAAAATTGTCTCAGTATCAATGAGTCGATCGCTATGATCAATAACCTTTCTTTTTTCGCTTCGCACAGTTTAGGACGTATTGCGAGGCTTGCACAGTCGACCCCTCGTTTTCCTAGTTTAAGTCAAGAAAATTTGTTCAACATCGCATGCCTTCTTGGCACCCAATTTAAGCAATGATGGCTACAGTCGACTCGTTCATACGACCGCTACATGAATATTTCACCTCCGATCTCCACTGAGTAAATGTCAGACGTTACAGAGATCGTTGCGCGGAGTTTTGATAGCGGAAAGCTCATTGACAACGTTCGTTCGTTGATTCTCTAACTCACTCAGTTGTATCAAGCTGATCAGAAAGAAGTTGTTGACAAAAACCTGCTTCACGATTCTTCGTTTCGACGCTTCTTCGGCAAAGAAGCGTGACGCGAGCAGCGCCGGCCGGTTTCAGTGTTGCAATCTAGTTTCCGTTCTATCACTAGCTCTGCGTTCTCTGTCCACGATACTAGTTCACTATAATTTGTCGCTGTTGGCGTTGTCACTAGCTCCTGTTGTTGGACTACCGCCATTAGTGGACGTGATATAAAAGTATTCCCTGAGTTATGCGCAGTTTGAGGGATCCAGGAAAAGAGACAACATTACTACTAGATTGAATGGCTTATTAATTAGCGATACTCAACAAGAGCCGAGTGAATGAAGCAAATGACAACTGCGAGCAGGGGAAAACATACTACAGTGTTATGGCCAGGCCTGTTATCCCAGCAGCTGTGGCAGCAACAGTTCAAAAGGAAGCCGTCGTTGCGTCTTCCTTCGCGTCCATAGGTTACATGCTTGTAACCTTTGCTCCCGTTTGTCGACTATTGGGACACCGTTGCCTTTGCCGCTGAGCTCCCGCTAGTGCTGCTTGGCAACGTGAGCAGCAAAGCGGGAAGGAGGTCACAAGTCGACGTCCAAAACGTCGATAGCAATGACGGCCGCCACATGGGGGTCTACTCGCGTTTTGAAAGGGTCTGGCACACATCTGCCGCTGTCACTCTGTCCAGCTGTCTACTCGTGCTGATTTTGCGGAATCCGTGAGAAGGATTCTATTAAATACAGCTGTACCCATGCACAGTAGGTTTCACCTGGCTAACGGTGTACACAGACTCCGTTTCATTATGATAATACAATAGTAATAGGAAGAATAATAATAGTCGTCGTCTGCGTTATTACGTCCAGCCTGTCCGGCTCGCCTCCTCAACCATAAGAATTATGGTAACGTTGCCAACGGTTCAAACGTCTTTAACGCAAATACAGGTGTACATATATATGCACTAATGCATTATATATATATATATATATGTTCAAAAGGGCCATGTTTGGTTATCTAACCTACAAAACAAAAATTGTGCATGGAATATAATCGAAAAATCAACACGGAACATGTGTACAGTCGGTATCGTGTCAAGAAATATGGCTGGTAAAAGTTGTGAAGAATAATAATCGCGAAAGGAAGACTTACTTTTTTAAAAGGTAGAGAGTCAATCGCTTAATAAGACGCATTAAAGCAGACAAATTTAGGAGTGTAAAGAAAGGTTACATTAACATACATACCGGATTAGATATTTAAGGATTTTGTAGTCTAAAGCCTTGACCGATAGAGCCCTTAGAATGTACTTCCCGAAATTAGATTTTTAGAAAAAAAATCTGATGGTGTTGAAACTATATTCTCTAGTTGGTTACAGCTCCGAACTGAACGAGCAAATCAAGATAAAAAGACGAGTGTGGAGTACTTGTTGGGGTCAATGCGACAGATCCTTTCAGTATCATGTCCGTCAATAAAAGCTGAGTGGAGATTGACACTCGGACCTTGTTTGGCGTAACTTTTGACATCAAAATTCGCAAACAGAACACTTGAGTTCGTTCTATTGCTATATCCTTCCTCTTATTCACGTGGTCCGCTGCACATTGACCGATCTAACCGAGACCCGCGTAAAAACGTACAAGACAAGACTTACGCTTTTATCGGAAAAAAAAGGATAACAGAAGCGGCACAATAGATTTTGAGCCTGTGGCGTCAAAGAAACTTGTTATCTTGAGAATGAGCGAAAAGGACGAACACATAAAATACGAACGCACTGTACTCCATTAAAGCACGGTGGCTCAAACTAGGGTAGATATTACTTGTTTAGAGAATCCCCCATTGAGTGCTACCTTTGATCATAGCTCTAAAGTCCGTGCAGCAATGTTATTGCCACAAACGTTTGCCTGCTATCGCCGTCTAGGATTTAGGTAACATCTTCAGGTTTTGGTAACCTAGCAAGTAATTGCTAGGATGACATACTCTTACTGCTGATACAGATACAGAGTCTATAGCTGACAACTTCTAGAAAAAATATTTAGCTATGGTTCGCTAGAAGGCCTCGTGAGATCACTCGATTGGCACAAACTGTCACAGTAGCAGCAATATCAATGTTTGTGCATTTATTTAAATTTGTTTGTTATTGTATGCCGTGGGCCCCTCTTATGTGAGACGACCAGCAAACACTGTTCATGGTAATACACTCGAAATCAGTTTCTCTAGGATGTTTTTACTGGATTACGCTGTGAGCAAAATGGCCGAAAAGGATACTATCCGCAGCAACGGAAACTGTAGCGAAGCTGTTTTGCTATTCAGTCAGTCGAGACCTGTCATCAGGCCAACTTTTAGGAACGAGTTTTGTGTTTATTAGACGAGCAATGTGTTGTTGTCTTGACGCCATAGTGTTTTTTTTTTTTTTCCATATTGCGTATTTCTATTCGCCAAAGATGCGACGTCGCATATCCGGAGCGGCATAATTTTTTCCTTGTGGATTACAGAGCTTACGCGTCATATAAAATTATGATCGTTACCAACAGTAGCAAGTTGGTAGCCATGATGTCGACATTGCTACAAAAGCGCCATTTTAAGCACGGCAGCAAACGTCATACTGAATTTTAAAGGTAACTCTTGAAACTTTTCAGGTTCGTTGTTTACAAAGTGACATGCGTCGCGCCTCAACACCGTGCCCCGGTATGCATTGGATACAACGCAGGCAGACTACGTTGCTTCTTTCTCTTTTGCATGGTCAGTCAGCGACCTCACGGCCATTGCGTGATTGCCGAGTAACTACTATTCATAAGAGTTATAATTAGGGAAAGGGAATTAGCCGGTTACAAATATTAATGAATTGGAAGATTTTCTGCCAAGCCTGATTTGATATAGTTCTAGCAGTAGTTTGTTTCACTAATGGATGCTGAAAGTCGTTTAAAGATAGTTTGTTGCACGTTAGCGATAATGCTGCTTCTCCTTAAACGTATGATACTTTACCGCTTGTTTTTTTCGGTGCCCTTCTTCGGTGGGCGCGATTCAAGAAATATTTAATAAAGAGCAGTAGTAAGCTGCCAGCAAACGCCTACTTAGCCGAAACGAAATACTATATCCCACAAAAAACTCAACCTGACGATTGTGAAGTTGATAGAATTGAGGCTTACCAGTTACCAATGCCGTCAGTACATTGTCCATTATTTTATAAGAAGCTTACTACAAATATGAAAAGGTATAAAGTGACCAACATATATATATATATATATATATATATATATATATATATATATATATATATATATATACATATATATACATATATATATATATATATATATATATATATATATATATATATATATCTACACATATATATATATATATATATATATATATATATATACATACATACATATATCTCATG